TGTAATTCAGCCTAGCAGTGTTTCTAGAAAGAATTTAGAATTTACTATTTATGTGATAGCTGATTATTGAAATTTCTATATGCAGAGGGCTGAAATATTTCCAAAGGCTTTCACCAGTTAGAAGAGAATAAATAAGGTCTCCCACATGGAGTAAGAACCATTTCTGAATTTTCTCCTCTGAAATGGAAAACGTTGCAGTTAGATTTTTTTTTTAATGGGATGTGAAGAAGGTCCTTATAACAACTGAGAGAGAAGAGAAACAGTTGCAATGATAAACTAATTTACCTTTCAATGAGTTTTGACATTTGACCACCGCACCAAGAACCTAGGACCTTCTGCTTTCAGTTACTGACACTAAACCGATCTGTTTGACAATTTTATGCAGAAATTACTGAAGTTATAGATGAAGAATGATTCATTGCAATCTTATCAAAATTTCCGAATAGGTCTGAAAGGTGATCTCTAAGAAGTTACACGGCTGAGTGAAGAGGACAGAAAGTGATTTCAGCTTCTTCAATAGCTGACCCTTTCATCAACTGAAAAAATTTAAGATCTGCATAAGACGGAAGTTGATCAGACTAATTTCCAAAGACATAACTATAACATAACTATAGTTGGAAAATTTTAATTCTTCTTGTTTGAGACCTTAGGCCATGAAATACTATCCAGTAAGAATCTGAAAAGATTGACATTTTTGTCAATGAAGTATGAAGTGTTCTTCCCAAAACTAGATTAAATGTAGGCATTTATGTTTATGTTGCTTGTTTTTTATTTAAAGTAGTCTTGCAATAGAAAATGAAAGAACAGTTTTACAGCTGTAACAGAGGTACTTTCTTTTGATAGGCTTATATATCTTATGATCGTGACAAGTAGGCAAATAATAGTACCACTTTTCACCATGATTACATATTCTCTGCATAACCAATTACCACTGTTGTTGGGTTTTTTTTCCTAAAAAAAATTCTAATTGTAAGGAATTTCTTGCTGTTTTAGAAATTTTAATCTACTCTATATCTTTCTGTTTGAAACATACTGCTGGCAGTAGTTGTATTGGTAGACTTGTTTTGGTTAGAAAAAGTGATCACCAGAGGAAAAGCACAAGCAACAAGTGTAGTAGTGTCATCCAGTGCCCAATATCCAATTTCATACAAAAGAAGCTTTATCAACAGTATTACAAACCTGTCTTCATTTGATACTAGCATTGCTGGTTGTGAACTTTCAAAATAGTTTTGTACTCTACTGTACTTGTGTGTTTGCTGAAGGCAAGGCCAATTGCAAGTGTAAAACAAACTGCCTCAATGCTTTCCAGAGAAGGTTCCATAAATTTAGATCTAAAAAATGCTGACTTACTCTCTCCTTCCATAGCACCAAAGGCCAAGATAAATATGTAGTTGTTTGGCATTCAAAATTTTAATTAACTTACATTTGGCTAAACACTTTCTGTACTTGTCCCAATTATTTGCTTCTTTGAACTCTTTTTGTAGAGGTAAAATAAACCAATAAGGCTATTCTGATGCACAGAAGATCCATGGAAAGAAAGGGGGAGTTTGTAAAAATTGCATGCATAACTCAAAAAAGGATCTCAAACACTAAATATATTATCTTTCTACAGTAAGCATCACAGGCATGCTATTATCAGTGCTGGACTGATAACACTGGAATGAACTGGGCAATAGAAGGCAAAGAAAGTATAGGAAAAACAGAACAGGATAGTCTAAAGAGATGAAACCAGTATCTTTAAATCTTTGGGATCGGTGAGGTCTTTCATGAAAGAATATATACACTGTGAATAATTTTCTTTGAATTTAACTTTGTCAGTGTATACCACAGTTATTTAAATTATGCTTATTCCATAGACTCAAGATTTTTATCCAGATTAAAATAAATCCCAAATCCTGTTTATCCAGTCCATGCATAATTATGTGGAACTGTTCTTGTAAATGTAAATGTATTTACATTATGCAATGAAACATAATAAAAGAGATGTAGAAATGAAGTGGAGGGAAACAAATGTATAAATAAAAAATGTTTTCAGGATATTTCAACAGCAAATTTTTAAAGCTATTTTCAGTTTAGCCATTTCAAATGAGCAAAAATATCTTCTCATGTTCACTGTAAAGTGTAAGACTTTGTTTAAGAAAGCAAGTTTATTTGGTCTTAAAAGTATTATTCCTGAGTTTAAAAGTTTATTGTTTTGGTTTTTTTCCCCGCATTTCCTGATTTCTTAACTGTATCACTGATGATGATTAAAAGCATCTTTTGAAATATATTTTCTTGTATTATGTATATATAGGTATGTGTATACATTGCCTGTACATATATATAATGTAAATTATTCATGCATTTCATACGTCAAAGTAGAAAGATGATTGCGTTTTCTAATTTTATTCAGTTTTCAGTAATGAAATGAAAAAGATTGGATCAAATTCTGCCTTCAGATATTTGCAAAAAACTCCCAGTAAATATCAACAGGAGTCACACACATTTGTCTGAGGACAGTATTAGCTTTCTGGTGTGTAAATGCAAATATTTCATGCAAAATTAATTTCTCAATACCACATGCAAGTCCATTCATATGCACGTGGCTTATAGCCAAAAAAACTTCATTGATGCTTGTGCTAACATGCATATATGGTTGGAACTAAGAGCATTCACACAAAGGAAAATGCAGAATGATCAGCATGACAACTGTCAGAGTGACATTCCTACAGAGCAGCTATCTAATGCAAACCACTATGCACATGACCTTTTTTGGGCAGAAAAGCATGATTTGAGTTGTGGGGTAAAACAGTGATTAGTAGATGTGGTTAGATTAGCATTTCTTAAGGTGTAATTTTTAGTAGCCATTTTGCCCCACATCTGATTCTACTTGGATTATTTTCCTTCACTATCTACCCCTTCATCATGCAAAAAAAATTACAATTAAAATTAGAAAGCACTGAACAAGCTCTAAACCCAACAGATAACATGGATATTCTCCACACTTTATACTGGAATTAAATTCGACATAAATACCTCCTGCTCTTACCAGTGGGTGGTGTTATTCCATGTATTTAGGTATGAAGCAGACAGGAAAGAGATAAATCTTTCATAAGTACAATATAAATCAGACAGTTCTCACATTATCCTTGCACTAAGTGTAGCATATTCAAACTCACATTTTAAGAAAATTAACTGATTACCATAAAACTTCAGGAATTGTGAACTGAATAAGAGATATAACAAGATAATCTTGATTTTTTCTTCATGGTTTTTTTTTTTTTTTTTTTTTTTTAAGACAAAGCCTCCATACTGCCTCACAATCACACTATAGAATATGAGCTGTTAAATCCATTTAGTTACTACTTTGTCTTAATAACAAGTCCAAGATTATTTCCAATACACCAGTTCCTGGATTATGAAAAGAAATTATTTCATGTAAAACAGGTGTTTTTTGTACAACCATTAGTGGTAATGAATTAGTTAAGGTATACATGATTTTGTAATATCTTCAGAAATAACTCAGTGAACTACTTTAGGCTTTGGCTGCACCCACCCACAGATTAAGGGCCTTATCCTGCAGAGTGCTGAGTATCCCACACTCCCATTGCCACCAGAGGGAATTAGGGCCACTCAGTGCCGTGTAGGATGAAGCTACTGATACTGCCTTCCATTGCAGTAATCCCCAGCAGAGGTTTATTCAAATATCCTTGTACTGTACTGAGTACAATATCCCTCTGTGGGAGAACACTTGTGGAAGTAGAAGGTGAAGCCTAATATATTTAAGCTGTTGTCTTACTTTCAAGATCTGCTTTACTTAATGGTAACCATAACATCAGGCTGGTTGATTCAAATTTATAAAAGCTTTTAATTGAGACTTGTTCCTACTTACAGAGTACAAGTGTATTACTGACAGTCCTACTCGCAAAAGTACCAATAGGTGCCACATGGAAGCTGTTTGATTTTATGCAAAAGTTTTGAAAGTTGAATTTTAGTTAATTTGTTATCAGAATTTAGAGTTTTTTTTTCCTCTTGCAAACTTTTTTGCATAGCTCTGCAAAGTGTTTAATATATAACTTCGAATTGCTCTGGAGAGTATCCCTCTAGCAACACAGATTCATTGATCATTAAGGTGCTCAGTCCTCTCAGTGTCTTCAAACATAAGTCAACTTTAAAAACAAACAAACAAACAAAAAAAACCAAAACACCAAAACAAAAACCAGCAGCTGTCTTCAGAAAAGAAGCCAGAAATATGGATGCTTACTTTGTTCGTTACAAAAATGTTTTTGTTTTTTTTTAGCTGGCCACATATCTTTTTATACAAAGACTGTTTACAGTTCTGTTTTATTTTAAAACAATACCTAAAACCAAACCTTAAGAACTGTTACCTCGCCAGTTCCTAGAACTGACACTCTGGACTGATGAATATTCAGTAGTATTGTGTGGAGTTTTTGTACAGAATTAGGTGGTTGTGAATGCAAGCAAGCTACTATTTGGACTATCATATGATTAGAGTATTTATCTCTGAAAAGAGCACTTGATCTATCTGCCTGCTCCTCTCTTCCATCCTCCAACAGTCTACATGTTCTAAATTACATGATAGGTAGGGTTTTGAAAAAGAGTTGGTACCTGCAGGCTTTATACAAGAGTCATTCTGTAGATACCAATGGAAGTGTTCTTTGATACAGGAAGTGGAAAATCACCAAGGAACAAATTTCTGGAACAGTTCTGTCTGAAACAAGCCCACCCATGGTATTTCTTGTCTTAAGCTTCTCATTGTCATCTGCAATTTTCAAGCTTTTCTATGCATGAGAGTTCAGATTTCTCCTATAGCTTGCAGTTGTCTAGGCAACTTTGCTGCCAAATTTGATTTAGTTTTTATTTCAATAATTGCTTTACATTCACTGTCTTAAACTTATAGTGATAAAACTCATGAATACTAAACATTGTCAATCATTTTCTAAATTCACATTCATTAATCTATTCCTCAGGATCTATGCCTGAAAAACAATACAACATACCATGTTCATGTCAATGCCATTGGTGTATGTCCATGCATGCTGGAAGTATTCCTCAAGTCGCTGCCGTAGAGGATTAGGGATTTGATGAAAGCGTATAAACTCCTTTACTCGCAACATCTGCATGTGATATCGCGCAGTTCCCGAATAGAGTCTTTGGATTATTGCAGATACGTTTCCAAAAATACTTGCATACATTAATGCTAGATTAAAAAGAAACAAAATGTGCTTAAGTCCTGTCATTGAGTTTTGCAGGTAATGCAACAGCTTTTATAGTGCATTTTGTATAGAACAGCTCTGGTGGGACTAGATGTGGATTTGATGTACTTGAACCTTTTTATTTATTTGATTATATCCATACCAGCTCTGCAGAAGAAGGTTAAATATGGAATGGTAAACAAGTTGGAAATATTTATCTTTAGAGATCTATAGCCCTGAACTTGCAAGTTAGGTTCATCAAATTTTACACACTCCAGAAGAGCTAAGAATTAGGAATTACAATTAAGTACAAAGAACAAAAGGCAGAGGTAAAAAGCCATACATAAATTTATAGTTCAGGTTTTAAATCAACAAATAATATATAGCTATGGCTATCTGAAAAATGATGGGCTATAGTTTCCTAAAGTCTACTGGAAATTCAGTTCTTTACCCTATACAGGATTTGCTTACAGACACTGATATGCTGACATACAATGCTTGGATAACAGTTTGGATTACAGATTTTGAGCAACTTTTACCTGAACCAATTAGACTAAAGGACTCAGTTTCATATTGAGGGGTTCTCAATTTAAAATAACTGAGGCTGGAAAGTACTGTTGCACCCAATCTCATTTAAAAATAAATCTGAATTCAAGTAAACTGTACAAAGACATTTGGAGTTTTTCTGGATGTGTAAAATAAGGATTTCAGTTTTAATAATTAATTGAAGCTTTGCTTCTAATTCTTCAAGCTACTGATGCATCTGAATACCAGGCCTGACATAAATAAAATTCTCTTATATCAAAAGAGGCATTAGGATGTTTTCATGCATTTCACTTACCTTCCCTAAACACTTTTTTTTCCTCTTATTCAAGTACATTTCATAAAAATGCCAAAAGAGAGAATATTATATCACCGTTAGGATACTCTTTTTTTTTTTTTTCCTCCACAAAAGAGCCTACTACTTCTTATATGTAAAGGAAAAAGATTCAGTGATATATATGCAACTTTATATCCAACTATTAAACTCCAGGGAAAAACACAAGGGTTCTGAACAAATCCAATTCACTTATAAATAAGCTCCAAAAAATCAAGCAATAGCATTCTAAAAAGTATGCTTATTTTTTTAAAAATATAACTATACTAGTTCTGAGTATCTGTCATCCTAAATCTGGAAAGAAAACTCTCTAACTCCAATGGTGTTAGAAAACAACATTCCTACATTCTCACAATACGTACTGGGTGACTTTATAAATCAAGTGCATGCTCTCAGAATTCAGGTTCTACATTTAAACATTAAGATATATACGTGCAATACACTGTCACGCTCATTCATCCTTTTCCATGAACTCATTAATATATGCTAATGTCTTCCCTTTGGGCAGGCGCAGTTGCTTCTATGGTGTTCATATGACCACCTGTTTCCACTCCTTTATTCTTCCTTCAATTTCATCATGATATCCTTTGGCTGACCTACAGCTGTTTTTCCCCAATTTACCAAATTTCTATTGCTTGTTATGCCATAATGAGCAACTTTCTATCATAGTACCATATAACAGAAAAACAATCTATATGAAACCCCCCAAAAAATCCTTGCACCTGGTGGATGCAAATATGAGAGTAGACTGTTGTGACTTCAGTGCTTCTGTGAAGCAGGATCATTCAGAGAAAGAAAGCTGCACACACATGAAGCAAAGCTAAAGTGGAAAGTTTTAGAATTAGCACACATTAATTTTTTTTGCTAAAAACTACTATATTGATCCATAAGTTAATATATTGATCCCTATGGCTAACCCAGCCTGTATCAGTGGTTATTTTTAGAAAGCCTCACAATTATACACATTACCTATAAGTAATATAATCTATAGAAGCATGAAATCGTTGAACAGATTAACTAGCATGGAGTTAAAACGGAGACTGCAGTGGAATTGCTGTACACTTTAGATCAATCTGCAGATTCTCTATCAACAGGCAATGCTTTTTCTGAGGTACTGCATGAAAAAAGGCTAACTTGTACAATTTGGCTATTGTCTTTCATAGACCTTCAGTTCAATCAACAAAATAGATTAACTGACCATTTGGTTGTCTGGACATTAGAAACATAATGCTCAGTATAGATAGCCTGTACTGCTTACATTGCTTAATACACTGATTCAGCTAGCGATACAAGCAAGTTATACGGGCATACGGTTTTTCACTGGATGTACTACATATTTTTGAAAATCTCATGCCAGCATACTAAAATGCTCAAATAAGTTTTGGATATTTCTAGTAGAAATAATATTTAAAAATACTTAGATACTCATAGACCTTAAAAAACTGTAGGTTTTGTCTAATATCCATTTTAATTTGGTCCAGTATCACCTAAGAAACAGATTCCTCAAAATTCCTTAAACTATGTTGTCACAACACATTTTCACATAAAACCACTTGTTTCTTTATGAAATTGCCCTTCTAGCTGCGTTATTATAATCTTATTAGCTTAGATTTTAAGTCATTTATTCAAACACCAAGGGGAAAAATATCCAAAAATAATAAGGTAAAAGTACTTACAGCCAATCAACATGACACAGATGGAAAAGATCTTCTCTGAGTTGGTGTTTGGAGAAACATTTCCAAATCCTACACTTGTCAGACTACTGAATGTAAAATAAAGTGCTGTAACGTATTTGTCCTTGATGGATGGTCCAGAACTTGCATCACTCTTATTGTAGTGTTTTCCTAATTGCTCTCCTAAAGAATCCAACCAGCCAATCTTATGAGCCAAGTAAGGTCTTTCTACATTTCCAATGGCATACCAAATACAAGCAAGCCAGTGTGCAATTAGTGCAAATATGCACATAAGGAGCATCAGAACTGCAGCACCGTATTCTGAATATCTGTCCAATTTCCGTGCTACCCTCACCAAACGCAGCAGTCTAGCTGTCTTCAGAAGACCTATTAATGTTGTTGTCTGTAAAAATAAAAGACATAAACAGAAAATGATTTTTTTTTTTTTGTTAGGAAATTTACCCTCAATTAGCATGAATAAAGCAGAAGAGATTTCATTATGTTTGGGAAGTAAGCAGCAGAGTAAACCTTTCAAATGCAATCCTGATTTTATTTTGTTTAAACTATCAAATTTATCAGTGAAGAAAACAATAAGCAGTGTATATTTTAAATGAAGATATATTGACCATTGTCATTATATGCTGAGTACTCTTTCATTTTGATTATTATTCTTGATCTGCTATGCGTGATAATGAGAGATGCCAAAAACAAAGAAACTGGCAGCTGAATTAAAATCCACTGATTGTTTAAAAAGGAAATAGAAATAATATCTTGACACCACAACCTTTCTTCTAGACATTTTCTTATCAAGTATGAACCCTGAAAACTTTTTTGGCTGCTGGGACATATTAACAAGTAAAACCAACTTTTAACTGCCTATGTTTCTGAGTAAATAAGCAAGAGGTTAATGGACAGTAAAGCTGGGTAACAAATCAGGGAGAATTTCTATTATAAAGGCTATTTTATTGATTGTGACCTCAATAGTCTGAGAAACCATGTATCCTTCCAAAAACTAGTCCTAAATTAAGCTTCAGTGTGCAAATGTTGCCATTAGGGAAAATTTTTTGTAAGTTAGATCACTAACTATAATTCCTCAGTGACAAGAATAAATTTTAGAAAAGCTAGCATTTGTTCTAGTAGTGTAATGGTGAAACCATTTTATTACTGATGTAGTCATATCCTGACAACTATGTAAGATTCAACATTTTCTTCAGGGTGAAATCAGCAGAATGGAGCTAGATAAGTTATTATAAAAATATATTATATATATAATTATAAATAAATTAATATTATAATCATTTATTTTGAATCTATATACCTAAAAATAAATAGAAATATTTAGCAGCATTTCACTTATACATGGACATTATCCGTGTGTGTTTTAAGGAGCTGTGCCACTGCAGCTATTAGTTATTCAAAATCTGAACCATATCTCTCTGATGAGCACCATGATTAAAAATAAAGTTTCAAAAGAATAGAAACCAAGAAGTCTATTTACCCTTTCTTTTTTTTTAATCTTCCCTAGTGTTGGACATATTACTTAATATTTAAAGCACACATACACAGAAAGGCAAACATTTACTACCAACCATAATCATTTTAATAGTCTTTTTAGACAGAAAAAAAATCATTTTAAATTAGTTCCTAAGTTCAGAAATTGGAAAGTAAACTGTCATAATCTGTTGCTTTCCGATGGATGACAAAGTATAGCTCAAATGGAAGCATTCAGATACTGCTGCATGTACTATTTGGATTATTGTCTTCTGCCCTTTCTAGACTCAGTTTGATATGAAGGTGTTTCAAAGCTGGGTGAGCACACACAGAGCTCTCTTAGGAGCTTATGTTGTTTAATAAAGAGAGAGTTCAATACAATTGTTCATAGGGGATCTTTTCTGAAGAATTTCCAGGTAACAAAAAATAGCTTTTTCATAAAAGAGATAACTCTCATGACTGAAAAAAAATCTATTAAATGAAAAAGGCTTCATTCTAACAGTTTCACATTTTCTTCCTCTCACTAAACTCTCAAAAGGGATTACTGTGGAAATGTTACAGTTAGCAGTATAAGAAGGAAAACTATAGTACGTAGCAGCTTAGCAAAAGTGACTGGCATGTTCAATATCATGAAGAGAGAATTCATTATGGCATGATTAACTGTTCATAATGTCTGTATTATGAATGTCTGTATTACTGGTTAGGTAAACAAACTTCTTCCTGATAACTGTTCAATTACTTATTACTTACCACTGTAATACGGAAAAACTCATTACATGGTCCAATAATTTATATCCCAGATTCCATGTTTTGATGTTTATGTACTGATTTGCAGGAATGCACTTATTTGTTATTAACTTTTGATTTTATCTTATGTTAAAAACTGTCCATTTAAACTTCAGCATTTAGCACTGTATGGCTAAAGATTTCTGTAGCAAGGGAGGTGTAGAGAATGATGCTCAGGGTGAAATCCAATGAGCACTCCTTCACTGAGTTTTGGAATTTGTCCCCACTGTAATTGATGTTGTTCCACATTTCTCTTCACTGAACATTATTTTTGGCCGCGATGAGTGCTTAGTGATCAGAAGAAGACAACTGTGCTTGCAAGGGACTGATATGGCCCAAGTACTGTCAAAATATTTGTCTTTTATGTGTGCATGTCATCAAAACTGCAGAAAAAAAAATCCTGAAAGACTGAGATCTACCACTCATAGTAAAAGCAAAAGGTAAACAAAATTTCCCTTGAATCTCTGAGCATTTTAGTCTCATATGTACAGAACAGTTCTCTTCTGGTAAGAGAATTATTAATGCATTCTCTGTTGGTTTTTTTTTTTTATTACTTTTTCCTCTTACTGCATTCGTTTAACAAAATTTACTTCCACTGCATGCTATTACACTATGTATCTCCAGATTACTCTGGAGAGCAATTTTACCTTGAATGTGTATGCTCATGTTTAAATCAGTAGGAATATCACTATTGATTGGACTGTTATTATTCAATTTCCATGTCTGCTGAATTAGATCATTTTATTCAGAAGTACAAGAAAACTTTTTCATTTTATAAATTTTGAGAAAATGAAGAAAAGCACAACTAATATTCATTGCACTTCTGATTTTTTTGTAGGACTTAAAAGATCTCACAGGACTCTATGTACTTCTACGTATGCACTAGTTGTTTTGCACTGACTCTTAAATATGTAGGTTCAAATGTCACTTGTGAGGATAGATAGTGCATGTTCAGAATTCAGTTCAAACTTCTGAGGCAGATATAAAAATACTTATTGTTTCAAATGGTTTTAATAAAAATGAATTTAAAAATTAAAAAGTTTTTGACTTATTTATATCATGACATAGAGGAATGCAATCAAATTTCATGATAAGATTGCTGATTAATTCAGTGGTTTAACTTTCCTCAGTTAATGAAATGTATACATGCTCAATAAACATTTTTCTCCCTTATATCAGTAATGTGCAAAACTGTTTCTTTAAGAAATGGATGTCTGCTCTTTGAAAAGAGACAGTCATATTTTGCTGGGTTTGCTGTTGTTTTTTTCCCTGTATTCTATACATCACAATAAGAAATAAACACAACTCTCTTCCCGTCAGTTCAGTTTTCATCAAAATATATGTTACAACTTTAGATCTTCTTAAACAAAAATACTTTGGAAGAAGGCAGAATTAGGTCAGGCTACCAGAATACAACGTATGCCTTACGTGCACCTTTAGGCAATTTTCAGATGCATATATTGAGCACTTTATTAACTCATTCTACAGATTGAATGAAGTCATTAGCCATATCAGACTGCCAGTCTGTTAGACTGTCATCTGGCAAGATTCACCCCAAATCTTCTTTTGGTAGTCCATGTTCTTGGTAAAATAAACAACAACCTGATGTTTTTGTAAATTGTTATCAAATAACACTTCATAGTACTTCACATAGTTTACACTTCATCTGATCTGTTTTACACAAACTAGACATCTGATCTAAAGATTTTGAATAGAGATCATTCATTTTACTGTGTTAATACCAACACAACATTTAGATTCTTTATGGATAGTTTTTACAAAGCAAGAACCAAATCAAAGGAACAGAAATTCTAAAATAAAAGCATTAGAACAAATCCTTCATACATTATATTTATTTCATTATTTGTAGTAGTAATACCAAATATGGATTAATTGAAAAACATTAGTTGAATTATTCAACTTTTTCTCCTGTGAATGAAATACATTGACAGGACAACGTTCCTTGACGCAGACAATATTCTGAACTACTTTACTAAGAATGATTTAATTTTATCTTTAGTTTAAAAGAAGGAACTACTAAAAAGCTTACTAAATGATTAGTAAACACATATTTTTGGATATACAGATTATTGTAGTAAAGTCAAAACTTCAGATTTAAGATTTCTCATTTACTAAAGCTTACCTCTTCAGAGCCAGAGCCAAAAATCAGCAGGTCAAAAGGTATTGCAGCAACCATGTCAATTAGGAACCAGCCTTTGAAGTAGTGAATTGCTATTTTTGCTGGGTCACTTACCACTTCTTCATTCTGGTTTACATATGTTGTTCTGAAGTTGATTAGAATGTCAATGATAAACATAATATCCACAATTAAGTCTACAACATTCAGTGGGCTGCAAGAATATCCGCACTCTCTTCTCTTCCGTTCCTCACTATCATTCAGAAGGAAGGCAGCAGAATAAGGGGTGAATATGGCGGTGTATATTACCAGCAACAAAATAAGCCAGTCCCAGACAGCTTTAAAAGGACTATAGTGCAATATAGTAAACTTGTTGATGCGAGGTGTTTGGAGTTTATACTCCGGTAGAACATCAGCCCCTAAGGACAGAACCTAGAACAAGAAATATACCATGTCAATAATTCATAACATCCACCACACCCAATAAATTAATTGACAATTTTACACAGTAGGCTGATTCTTGGTCCCTGCATCACCCACTAAGTGCTATACCAGGGCCATAAAATCTAAAATCTGCATAATTAAAGATGCCATCAAATTCCTTTATTCACCATGACCACGTTCACGGCCAGTAACACACTTTTCTTGCTGTGGTGTATTGTTTTCTCCCAAAGCAAGCCTATTACTGTTGGCTTAAATTCACTCCAAAAGAGCCCACACTCATTACAAAATTATTAGCAAACAAATAGAAGTTAACGATCTATGAGCGTCCTTGAGCTATCTCCACTTTCATGCATGGACGTTCTTATTCAGTCTAATAGTTATAGCACAGCTAGAAGTGTAACAAAGGTATTCCACAGAAGTATTGCCTTTTGCTTCACTTCAACTTTCATCATCAATGTCTAAAGCTTTTTATCATCCCTTTGCAAGTGTAGATTTGTTATCTGTTGTTATTTGTTTTCTAAGTTGGATTGCAATTTTATTTGGAAATTATGTTTGTACAGATTGCTTGATTTACTGGCTCCTGAAGTTGAAATGCTTGCTTTGTTGGAAAGAACAAGCACAGAGTGGGCACAAGATAAAACTAATTTCCTTTGGCTACTACTCCAGTCTGACTGAAGTCTGACATGAAGAAATAAAACCTTTAAGGATAAGAAGGTAAGCTATGAGGTTGTTGTTTTTTTGTTTGTTTGTTTTTCCTCTACTCAGTGCTTGGCCTACTTACACAGACTGTCAGCAATGATGCTAATTATTGCTTTCTGTGCTGAAAGAACTATCCTAATCCTATGGGACTCAAATCACCACTTAATTTTACACAGACCAATGAGCAAACATTTGACAGTGACAACCTTCAGTTACTATGCATTTGAGTAAGTGATAATTCAAGAAATTATATGCCCATTTTTCACCAGTTACTTCTACTTATTTCTTCTCCCCCAGCTAATTGAAAATGATGTTTACAAAAATCAGACCTTTCAAAAGTAACAAAAATGAATAAAAATGCTGAAATGAAATTATGACTGAAAGGAGAAATGCAGTGTCAGCAACACTTTCTGCTTTTATTTAGCAGTAAGTAGCTTGGGATTAGAGACTTCAATTTGCACAAGATTGAGGAATTTCATGCTCCTTGAACATAATCTTGTAAAATTATAAGGGTCAGCACATTCTTTCTATTTAGCTTTCCAATAGCAAGTGTTTTATAAACCTTAGATCCCATCCTTAGCAATCCCAGTGGCACTTATTCAGTGAAGTTCTACCCTGAAAATGTTGTGAGAATGCCAGGGTTAATAACAACTGTTCTCATTTTAGCTGTAAACAAAGAAATGATTAAGCCATTCAAAAGATTATACAGTATCTTCAAGAAGCCATTAAGTACCATGTTGAAGTGACGGTAGAGATTACTGTTTTTTTTTTAATCTTGTAACTAGAACTTGCACTTATGTAGCGGTATTTTGTTTTTCTTTTTTCTACACATTAAACACACTGGCAGACACCTACCTGAAAAGGAGGTATTGCTTAATCTCATAAGCAGACTTAATACTTTTAATACTTTTACATACCACCACCCTATATGTAGCAAGTTAGTTATAAAATTGATATGTGTCCTGCTGGGTTTTCAAATCACGAAGGAAACAAACTAGAGAAGAGCAATAAAGTTTACTTCTCTTGTAGTTTGAAAATTCTAGCTAGTTAGCTTCATTTCAAAGCACTGTATAATGTACATTGAACTTACTCTCCAGAAACTTGGCTCCTATTCTCATTCAAGTTATATTTCTAGACTGGTTTAGATTGAGGTAAATAGAAAAATGGAACACTAAAAAAATAGCAGGCAAAAAGAGGGAACAGAAATATAATAGTGATCACAACAGAAACTGATCCAACTTTTCCATTATGGTTTCTTCTTAGACACAACAGAAGAGGCTAAACGATGGTTGTGAATTTCATGTTCATAATGTGGTGTAGAACTTTGTTTCTACATTGCTTACTTACATGCAATGGAAAGTAAATACAAACACTCATTATGTAGTGACTTATTTACCGGATTGAGAGAAAAGATGGGATTTTCTCAAACAAAAAACTCAGTTACACATACGAAAAAGAGAAGACATTACGGGTTTCTTGTCATTTTCTGACTGAACATGAGATGAATTTGTCATTTTGCTTTTGTGTGACATCCTTGCGAGCACTGGATACTGGTGTTGGCCAATCTACACTGATCTTGCACTACATCGTGTTCAAAAGACCCTGTTTTGTATAGTGATTCTTGATGAAGTATCAAGGAGCCTAAATGGGTCAATGTGCAGTACAGCACACTGTCAATAACTGCTTTGTGCAGGGAAGCCTTGTTACAGGCTCTGCAGTATCATGTGAAGCAAGAATACTTCACACTTCTCAGGGAAACTCTTGATTTTTCTCTTTTAAATTTCCTAATAAAAGAGAATACGCAGGTAAAACATTAGGCAAAATATTAGATGATGTGAAAATTATAGTCTAGTCTCTGCCACTGACTTTCTGAATGATGTTAGGCAAGTTGACATTTAGCCTCTCTGACTTCTGACAGTGGAGAGAATATTTATCTACTAAACTGAAAACATCTTGAAAGAGATAATCAGCATAAATCGTTTACAGAAGTTATTATGTAGTGGCAATGATTTATAATTCTTCTAGATTTAGTTTATTCTTTTTATTTTTAATATTAATTTGCACTAATATTTGTTCTTCCCTCTTTTTAACTTTGATATTACAACCCAATGGAGATATTGCTCAGTTTATTTTTATTTTCTGTATGAAACATTCAGTTTTTATTATGTATTATGCAAACAGCACAGTGTCAAGAGACAGTGAGAAGCCAGCATTGCTCTGTATCACACAGAAGAGAATTGTCTTCTGAGACACTTTCAATCTGAACTTAAAGAATGCAAATGCTGACAGTAAAAACCAAAGAACTAGAAACTAAATAAAGGCACATAATACAGATTTAATAAATCATAACAGAAGTAATAAATAATAATCCATTACAAATTGTTAAAGAAATGCTTCTGTCAAACCATTCTGCAGAAATGCAGTGAGGTTTCCTAGGTATCAAAGCATCACCTGTGAGGAAGCATAATGAAGTGTTATCATACGACTTTTCAAACAACTGTAGCACTACATAAAGACCATGAATGTGGAAACCAGGAAGGATGCCTGATGCTTTCAAGACAAACTGAAATCTGTGGGCATAATTTGACAGCATAGGCCAGAAGCTATATGAATTTTATTCAGAAAGCATTGGACCTTTAGCACTTTCGTTAAGAAATCACAGTATTTTTGTGCTGTGCATTTCCAAACTGACAGCAGAGACATGATTGCAGTACACTTGCACAAGCAATATAGAGCACATCTGCAGACTAGGTAAAACCTCTCATCACAGAGCTAATACACATCTGGAAAATATGATCAGAGGGGGCAATGTTTCCAGGTAACAAAATAAAAGATACACAGGGGAACAAAAATACAAGAAAATTGAAGTTATAAAATAGAGGTATACAGAGATATATGTGGAAGGTTGATGAGCACAAAGCTTAATATATTAGCTTTTCAGAAAGATAATTTCCTATGTCTAGGGACAAATTATGTCTGAAATGAACTGTTAAATTTACATATTTAACATTATATAGATCTATTCAGTACTAGATACTGTTATGTTACTGTTACTTTTGCCACAGATAAAGTGAAATTTCACTAACAAGGTTATATCTTATGTAGCACCTCTTATTTTAACAAACTTCATAGTCCTACATTACTTGAAAACTTTAATATGTTTAATATTTATCCCTCTGATAAAATACCATTCATGAAACTATGGAAGATAGTATCAGTCCACGCTGATATGAAATAAAATGTTAAAATAGTTTATTTCTAGGAAACACAATATAAAATGAAAATATATATGTATTTTGCCAATAACTCACTGAACTCAGTCCATTGTGAGGCATACAGCTCTGACCAAAGAATGGACAATGTTCCTGCATCTTTAAATCAGGGAATCTGTAGCAAATCTATCAAATGTTAAGTTCAAGTATGCTGAGATTTTAATATTATTATTCTACAAAAAAACTGAAGACACTTCAAAATTCTCCACTGTAGGAAGCATATTAAAGATATAAAATATCTTATATCTTGGTATAGCCAACATGTAACATTTACACAAAAATGTAAAAAACCTGATAATAGAACCAAAATAATTCTATTATTTGCACTATCTTTGCTACTTAAAAATAAGGGAAAGAACTAAGAAAAATTTGGGACTTTTCAGATCTTCTAATCCAAACACAGCAATTCAAGGTTGAAATAGAAAGCCAAAATAACACACTCACTATCTGAGTGTAACGAGATAACTGCAGTAATGGAATATTAAACACTCTTTCTTAAAGAACAAATAAAGAGGTATCATAAGAAAATTAATATTTTTCTTATTATTATAGAAGGCTCCTACAGGTTATTTGATCAAATAAATCTCAATGTCCTATAAGTAATTTCACAGAAAATGGAAATCTGTTCGGATTAAACAATATTTTAGCGGTTTGTGACTATAAAATTTAGTAGCATCTCCTAAGTTCAAGTAAAGCTACTCTTCCTGTTTGCTCTCTGATGCAGTTCAGAATGAATGTTACCACTGTAATCCAAAAACTCCAACCTTAAGTACAATCCCCTTCCTTTAACATATAGCTTTGAGCTCATGTTTATATGAGCACACTTTACACGAACTCATTTTCCAGAAAATTGGAAAACAAAACAAAGAAATAAGAAAAAATAATGGAGCATATACAAACAAAGCCAATAAAGCCCCAATTAAAAAAACACTTTTATCATGACCATGAACCTTAAATTTGAATGACATTACAGTTCAAAAAATAAAGCAGTATTATTTCAGCTCTAGAAGAGGATAT